CGTGGTGAAAGGGTGAAGAAATGCGTGGCTTTTATGATATGATCACTGCTTCCAGAACAAAGTATGGCACTTCTACAGCCAATTCCTAATTACAAGGGGATTTTATGTATTACCTCACCTATAAATTAGTGTTTTTGAGCAATGGGTGCAGCTGAGAATGTCATGGGTACCCAGTGACTAGACTTGATCGGACTTTTTTGAGGAAATAGACCTAAAACTTCATGAATCTTATGAGGTATCAGTGGTCTTGGGTACAACTGAAATCTCAGATTTTTGCCGTGGTGTCATATATAACACTTGCAATGAATAAGAATGTTGCTTAGCAGTTTTTCTGCTATTGTACCAAAATCTCTGAGATTGTCTGGGTTTCTTCCATTTTAATTAAATTAGCCAGCCACAATATCTTACTCAGAAAATTAGTTTGGATGGTGTGCCCAGTATAGAATGAAGGCACATTCTACAGGGACATTGATTTAATGTAATGCACAGGGAGTTTTGATAGGTGTCTACAGAAGTGATGGGGTAAGAAAATGGAGAAAAATCAAGTGCAGATGAGAAAATGGAACATTATATATGGCAAAATAAAGTAACAGACATTGGCTTAATGACATCAAGAAACTCTTCTAACCAAGTTCCAGGATTCCAGAGTGTTAATCTCATTAGTTTCAAATTATTATCCAACTGTCAACTCCTGGATCCTTATGGAATCACAGAAAATCAAGTCAGATAGTAAATCAGGTTAGAAATCCGAATTAATTATTGAAAAGTAGCTCCAATTTCTTTTCCCATTTGAGCTCAGTTGTGATTTACTGTACTGAATTACTGACCAGCCAAATTCTCTTTTAAACAGTTCTGTGTCATAATGTTGCTGAAGAAGTCCAGATTTTTCCATAAAACCTGAAGATGTATTTATTTTCAGCAGGGATTACCATTCCTGCCAGTGGAATCCCAGCAGTTTTGGCTAATTGTAATAAGGCTGTAAATATGTGATTTCCATGGAAATTCATTTAGTCACAGGATTTTTTGTGCTTTTTTTATATTGACGGCTGTGCTTAGCATGGCCTGCCAAAAGAATGTATGATTTAAAGAAAAACTATATTCACATCAGAGTTGAGTATCTATAGTGAATTGCCCAGTATACATATGTATTGCTTTTCTGGATGAAGCAGAAACTGCTTGACAATATCTGTTGGATTTGTGCTGTTAACAGATAAACTCCTTTAGCACAAACAGGGCATGTGCTTTTGAGATCTTGCCCTATTAGACCTGTTAGGTAGTAAATTTTTATAGCAACACTCATGCAATTTTTTTAATTACAATCATATGGGTTTTTAGTCTGTACAACTTGCCATTACATTCACTTTAAGTTTAAAACACTTTTTTTAATAACTTTTTTTGTAATGTTAATTCAGGGTGGAATACTATTTATGTGGTTATTTCCAGATTCAAACATGTATAGGCAGTTTTAGTGTCGACCCTAAATTTTCAGCTTTTAGGAGTTTAATTTTTTTCTATATGAGATTGACAGTATTCCAATTATGCAATTTTCTGTTGCTGACATGCTTTGATATTGAATTCAATCTTTACATAGTTTTGTCTAGAAATGTCCATGATTTTTTTAAGTGAATGTTTTAAAGTGCCATATGGGATAGCTGAGCAAGAAATCCAGAGAAAATGTTATTACGAGATCCTTCTACAGACTTGAGGATGCATAGCAAGAATATTAAATTGCTTATAATTAACTCTGCTTTTAAGGAGTAAGCTTATTAGTACAGCAGGTCCATTTTTTACTTGTTAGATGTTGGTATACTAGGAAAGGAGGAATTAAGAGTCTAGTGCCAGGAGTCTAGAGTTCCTATAATTTTGAGGACACTTAGGTGATCTGAGATGTGTTTGAGGTGCCTAATGCCTGTTGAAGTCAACACAGGCACCTAACTATACCGGAAAAATCCTGCTGTTTGCTCCCTGGTAGCCCAGCCTTGATATGCAATGGGACCAAGGCACCAGGGTAGCATAGTCACAAAATCAGAATCAGAATGGTTTAGATTGGAAGGGACCTCTGGAGATCATCTAGTCCAACCTCCCTGCTCAAGCAGGGCCCTCTAGAGCAGATTTCCCAGGATCACGTCCAGGCGGGTTTTGAATATCTCCAGCGAAGGAGACTCCACTGCTTCTCTGGGCAACCTGTTCCAGTGCTCTGCCACCCTCACAGGAAAGAAGATTTTCCTCAGGTTCAGATGGAACTTCCTGTGGTTCAGTTTCTGCCCATTGCCTCTTGTCCTGTCACTGGGCACCACGGAGAAGAGACTGGCCCCATCCTCTCGACACTCCCCCTTCAGATATTTACACACACTGGTGAGATCCCCTCTCAGTCTCCTCTTCTCCAGGCTGAACAGGCCCAGCTCTTGCAATCTTTCTTCAGAGGAGAGATGCTCCAGCCCTCTAATCATCTTGGTAGCCCTCCGCTGGACTCTCTCCAGTAGTGCCATGTCTCTCTTGTACTGGGGAGCCCAGAACTGGACACAGTACTCCAGGTGAGGCCTCCCCAGGGCTGAGCAGAGGGGCAGGATCACCTCCCTCGTCCTGCTGGCAACACTCTGCCTCATGCACCCCAGGATCCCATTGGCCTTCTTGGCCACAAGGGCACACTGCTGGCTCATGCTTAACTTGTTGTCCACCAGCACTCCCAGGTCCTTCTCGGCAGAGCTACTTTCCAACAAGTAGGACCCCAGCCTGTACTGGTGCATGGGAT